CACCCGGCGGGCCCGGGTCACGTCCCGCGCCGCCGGGGCTGGCGTCTACACCGGCCGGCACCGGGTCCACGCCTAGACCTAGGAGAGGCCAGGGAGCCGTCAGCCGCAGGAGATCCGGCTATCAGCCCCCTCCTGAAGCCAGCTGCGGGACCTCACGGCTCAGCCCAGGGGTCTCGCCGCGCCCGGCTGCGCCCCCAGCCTCAGGCCCCATCCCTGGCTTCGGAGGTCTGAGGCCAGACCCGCCCCCACACAGCGTCCTTACCATCCCGCCTCGCCCCCGGCTCCACCCCTGGCTCAGCAGACTGTTCCTACCTGCTCCACCGCACCTCGGCGCACCTGCCGTCTGAGGGTGGTGGTCAGGCTGTCCCCTCCCTCTGTACCCTCAACTTGGACCCTGTCCTTGGTTTCAGGGTCTCCTCCTTGAATTCCGGATTCCCCTCAACTCAGCCCCTGACCTCAGGCCCAGCTCCTCGTTTGGCGTGATCTAACATCTTCCACCAGCTACCCCAGCCGCTAGCTTCGCCCCTTGCTTATGGCCGCGTCCCCAGATCCGACTCTGCGGATCGCCGGGCGTTCCACTCTACCTTTGGAGCGCTGCGGCCACGCTTCACTACACCTTCCCTCACCATGTCCTTTAACTTTGCAACCTGTGGTGGCCTCAGGATTCTCTGGCTTCCCCACCCTTTCCCAGGCTTCCTTAGTAAGGGACAGTGGGTCAGGCCGCCCGCTCTTCAACCTCAACCTTGGGCTCGGTCTTATCGCCTATGGCCTTGGCCTACTCCTAGTTTCAGGGTATGGTGGTCAGGCCGTTCCATCATCCCATCACCCAGCCTCAAGCCCCAGCCTTGCCCCAGGCCATGTCCATTCCGAAGACAAGACTTGGAACCTTTTCTCTCCCCCTTCACCTCCTGGCCCTGTCCCTCGGTAGGCCTCGCCTGCTGTACCTGTCTTAAGCACCAGCAGGTGCAGCGCGTCGTCCTGCAGGTAGGAGGCGGCGGCGATCTCGTGAGTGGGGATACGCAGGATGAGCTCCTCATTGTCTCGCCAGGTGAGAAGCAGACAGCGGGCTGACAGGCTCAGGATGCTGTCCTGCTCCGCCGTTGTCTTCAGCGGCAGCTCCTTCAGCTGCTGCGGGATGAGTCGAATCTCCTGAATCCCTGGGGGCCTCGGGTGGAAGAGGGAGAAGGGGACGAGATCCTGCCCTCTCCCTTCCCTGGAGCCTCACCCTGGCCGTGTCCAGCAGCTGCAGGAGCTCATCCCGGCTGGAGGGGTTCAATGAGGACGTCACCCAGGTAAGGTGGCCAAGGAACTGGGTGGGAAACAGGGGTGGGGTGGAGAGAGTGGTGGGAGAAGGGCAGAGAGAGGTCACCCTGAAGCCTTGCGGACCCTGACCTCCTCACTGAGGTAGAAATATCTGAATTAATAATAAGAACCTGACGAATAAACAAACAAAAAAGATAAAAGATAAAGTTAAAAGAAACAATAATAAAAACCTGGTAATAACTTATTGAGCTGGTCATAGAAGCCAGACACAGTCCTGAGCGTTTCATGTACATTCACTCATTCATCCTCACTATAAGGATGAGAAAACGAGGGCACAGCAAAGGTAAACAACATGCCCAACATCACATTCCTAGAAAGGGCAAAATTGGCGTGATCTGACATCTTCCACCAGCTGCTCCAGCCACTAGCTCCACACAAGAGTCCACACTCTCAAAGCTGGTTTAGATCACATGAATACATGGTTATTTAGCTACGACAGAAGCAAAAGCTCAAAAGAACTGACTACTCGTGAATTCCTGCTTGGCCCGAGGGCCTCTGTTCACCCCAAGCACCAGAGTCAACTGACTGTACAAGTCACTCACCCTCTTTATGATCTTGTTCCAGAAGTCAAATGGAAAGGGACGAATGTTATATGGAATTAGTATATAATTTTGTCAGAAAAACTATGTCCCAAATTAATAAGTTGATTCTTAATTCATTCTTAATAACTTAATATTACCACTGAATTTAAGTGTTATTTCATCAATATAAGAATTAACTTTTTCATTACTTTTATTCTTTTAGGTGAATTCTGCTAATTAAACCTTTTCTCTCTCTTTTTTTAATTCTCTATGAAATTTCAGTCCTCAGTTTTTAAGTGGATTTATTTGTTAGCTTTTCTCTCTATAGAGGGTTGCCAGATAAAATATGAAATGTCAGACAAATTTGAATGTCACATAAGCAACAAATACTTTTTTAGTTTGTTCTTTTAGTATTTTTAGTCTCATGTAGTATTGGGACCTATATTAATACTAAAAAAATACTCATCGTTTATCTGACATTCGAATTTAACTGGGTGGCAAATTTTGCTAAATTTGACACTCCTGCCCCCGTATCAATCTTCCTTGGGTAATGAGAATTCTTCATAGTTCCTTCATGATGTTCATGAAATAGGAGTAAAGCCTTTGAGTGGCCTAAGTCCCTTGTGACTTGCTGAACTGGGTTCCTGTAACCTGGACACTGTTTGAGTAGCAACAATGTCACTGCAGTAAAATCTCACAGGAAAGTAGGACTTTTTAGTTCACGGAGCACCCTCCCTGCGCACTCCCCAGGAGGTAGATTTTGAGCCCTGTGTTGAGATGCGAACACTGAGGCTGAGCAGATGAAAGTCATGTGCTGAGGGTCCACAGCATAAGGCAAGGTACAGGCTGCCCAGTCTTCTTTCCCCTGAGGCTCCCCTGCATGAGACAGGGCTGGTCAGGGGTCGATGTCGGGGAGACGTAAGGTCTCTCCTGATGGGATCCAGGACGTGCTACCCCAACAGATGACACCTTGGCATACTGAATATCTTAAGCCGAGGGAGTTTGAGAAAATAGCAGATACACGAAGATCACTCTGTCCTCCCCACTCACCCTTCCCTGATCAATTTCCCATGTGAAATGTCCCCTCCCTGTACCAGGAGGAGGAGACAGGATTTAGGCCAGAGAAGGCTATGTAAGCAAACCTCGTTACTTCACCACTCACTACCCCTAGCCCAAACCCCTCGTGTCTTGTTAATTCTTCACAAATTCATTGTTTCTTTGTCCAAAAGATATAAAAGCTTTCTGCTCTGGTCACTTGTTGGAGTCTTTGTTTTCTTGTGAAGGATCCCATGGACATGTAAAACTTTAATAAAATGTATATGCTTTTCTCCTGTGACTCTGTCTTCGTCAGTTCAATTTTTAGACCCAGACAGGGAATTTGAGAGGATTGAGGAAAACCCTTTCTTCCCCTAAGACTGTGTCCACCCCTTCTCATCCCGCACGCACCTTGACCTCTTTCTCCAGGTAGTCACACAGCAGAATCTGGGGGTCGATGAGGTAGTCAGGGGGATAAAGGGGCATGGAATGCAGGGGCCTGCGGCTCACACTGCTTCGAAAGGCTGCTCTGCGTGCGGCCTTGGGGAACACCAGCCTCCGGATGGGGGAAACGAAGCCCTGAGGAGGGTGGGGGAATAACATGGATAACAGTGACCGACTTTGTGGAGCACTTACCATTCTTAGATTTTACTTACATTACCTAACTTAATTCTCACAAAAACTACAGAAGAGGTACCTCCATAATCCCCATTTTACAGACGGAGAGACTAAGCCTCAGAGAGAGAACTAGCTGATAAGGTCTCCAGCTAATCATGGTAAAACCAATAGTCTACACTGGGCAGTCTGGCTCCAAAACCTCCATTCTAAACACCCAGATGAGGGTGGATGCCCTGTCAAGGTTCAGGTTGGGGCAAATGCAGAAAAATATTAAGAATCCTTGTGACTGAGTGGTGGGAACCTAGATATTTCTGAAGTTCTTCTCTGTGCTTTCCTAAAAATTAGAAATAGTTTAAAAGTTCATTTAAGTATAATTCAGTAGGCATCTGCATAAAAATGGCCTGGAACAAGGTTAAAGGTGTAAATCCTAGGGCTCCAGCCCAGCCTAACAGAATCTAATTCTCACAGAAGAGTTTGAGCACTACTCTGGAGCAGCACTTCTCAGTGTGTGGTTTTTGGATGACAAGCAGCAGCAGCAGCAACTAGAGAGAAATACACATTCTCGCACTCTATCCCAGTCCTAGTGGATCAGAACCCCGGGTAAGACCCAAAGATCTGTGATTTAACAAGCTATCAGGTGATTATGATGCATGCCTAGCTCAAGTTTTAAAACCAATATCATGGAGCCTGGATGGGGTATATGGAAAGTCTGAGAAATGAGAACAAATAATCTCCTTGGAAAGGCATTCCAGTCAGAGGGCACAGCGTGTGCAAAACCCTGGAGGCTTTAAGGACCAGATGAGCATGAGCCTGGAGAAGCTGTGTGTAGTCTTGTGGCTGAATTATGAGATGAACATGTCATAGAGACCTTGACTGCCAGCTATGGAGCTGTGTATGTGAGTGTGTGTATATGTGTGAGTGGAGTAGGGAGGTAACTATTGTCTGTGGCCCTGAATGGTCCAGCCCTGCTCACCTCTCCAGCCTCATGCCACACTGCGTTTCACTCCTTCCCTCCAGCTACTGGGACATCTTTCAGTCCTTCTTCCTTGCTGTTCGTTCCCACCATGGAGCTTTTGCACATGCTGTTCCTCTGCCTGAAACAGTCTTCCCTACCCCCTTTCCTTCCATCTGTCAGATCTCAGCTCAAAATGACCAGTCTACGGCTGGGTTCCCTATTATCTAGCACTGAGTAGGGAGCATTTTATGCAGTGTTGTATTAATTGCTTTGTTTAAAAAAAAATTAATAGTATCTCCCCCACTAGACTGTGAGCTCCAGGAAGGAAGCAGGGACCTCGTCTGACTTTGTTTGCCACTGCAACAACACCAGCATCTGGCATAGTACCTGGCACATAATAGGTGCTCAATAAATATCTATAGAAAGAATGAATCCAGAGAAAACAAGCACGTCCATCTTGACTCCCTTCTGAGCCCTCATGATTCACATGGGAGCTTTTGGAACAGCCTGACCTAGGTATCCCTGGGGGAAGAGGGCTTGGTGGGGATGAGGGTGGGAGTTGGAATCCGAGAGGCTCCCTGAACTGCAAAGACAATCAGAGAAACAGAGAACCACGGGAGCACATGTCTTAGTGTTGGGAAAGGGTGGGGACCTAAGGGGTGCGGGAGATGATTCCTAGGCTGAGGCCTGAGGAGCGGGCCCTGGTATAAGGATGGGGAGGGGCAGACCAGACGGGAACCCAGTAGGGGAGGAGGTATGTGTCTGAAGCCTGAATAGGCAGCCTTATAGCTGAGGTCCTTTTGTCGGGGAAGGTAGAGAGCAGGGGGATGGATCTGTTGGATGTCTGCTCCTTCATCTGAGAAGCTACAGGAAGGAACCCCCAGGAACCCCAGGGAGGGAGGTTGGGACTATCTCCCAAATGAATCTGTTCGGCTGGGTTTCCCTAGAAGGTTCCTGTCTGCCTGTACATTCCGGTGGCGGCGGAGTGGGGGGCGGGCTGGGGCATTGTAGCGGGGTGGAGGGTGGTTAAGGTTAGACAGAGGCCGCCGAGAGCAGGGAGGACAGGTTAGTTAGTAAGTTTGAAGCCTAAATGTCTGGCTGCCCAAGGATAGGGAGGAAGGCCTTTCCAAATGAGAAGAAAGGCCGTACTTACATCCCTCACTGCCCATCGCCCCCACCCCAAGTTTCCCACTTCCCCAGCACTGGGGACATTTCTGTGCCCTGCATCCCTCCCAACCTCCCACGTACCTTTTTCCCTTTCTTGACTTCATATTCCATGGTGAATCGTCCCTTCTACTCCTGCCACCCTACTGGCCACCCTCTCCACCCTCTCGGCCCTCTCCCCCCACGCAGTTCCTTTGTTCTTTTTCCTGCCTGATCGCCTGATCGGAAACTCCACCAGCCCTGGAGTTCCTGCCTCTCCTGTCTGATAGTGAGCAGAGGTGGAGGGGGCTGGACACAGCCTTGGAACCCTAACTTAGCCAGAGCAACTGACCTGGGGAGGAACAAGCCAGAGGCTTGCTGTTGAGAGGGCTTGGGAGTTGAGTAAGGTTGGAGTCAGAAAATTTGGAGTCCGAAAATTCCGAACTCCACCCCTACTTCTGCCACTGACCTTGCTGTGTGACTTTGGCAAGGCAAGTCAGTTAGTCAGTTACCCCTTTCACAGCCTCAGTTCTCTGTCCCCCGCACACTCTGAATTGGAAGTAAACATTGCTTCCAATGTTTCCAACCCTCTCTGGGTTGCTGTGGTGAGAACTAAATGAAAGAGTGGGTGGGAAGGTGCTTCATAAACTATATAATACTGTGTCCAAGCAAGTTGTGATTTAAAAAATTAATCATTTCTATTAAGGGAGGCAGTATGTATGGGCTTTGGAGATAGGTTGCCTGAGTTTGAATCTTGACTTCGCCACTTACTAGGATTATGACCTTGGGCAAGTCCCTTAATCTCTTGTGCCTCAATTTCCTCTATAAAATGGACATAATACCAATCTGACCTCGTAGTGACCTTGTAAGGATTAAATGCACTTAGAAGAGTTCCTGACACATATGAAGTGCTCAGTAAGTACTAACTATTTACTTAGTTATGTGTCTGTGTCCTGGGCAGTTTTACTGTCTCTTGGGAGAATATTAGGGTGGCAAGGCTCCCTTTGTAGTTCTGTGCTTAACACTTGATATATTTCATTTCATTTAGTCCTCATAACATTGAGGTGCCGTTATTATACCCATTGTACAGATTTTAAAAACAGGCTCATCTGCAGAGGCTGACCCAAGGGGGTCACACTGTGAATAAGAGGAGCATCTGGGATTGCTGCCGGGTCTGGATCTGAAGCCTAGTCCTTAACTATAGGACCAATGCACTTGCGTGGCCCACCCAGGACAATTGGAAAGGTTCTGATTGACCCAACCTCTCCTTGCCATAACACCTGGTTCCAGAGACGCAAGCTCTGGAACCGATTTGCTGTATGATCCAGGGCAAGTTACTTATCATAACCTCTTTGGGCTTCAGCTTTCTTCGTCTTTCCAATGGGAACAATAACCCCAAAGCCCTGCCCTACAGTTAGAGGTACAGCAAGAGAGACATCAGGCATCAAGATCAAGATGAGAAAGTGGTTGGAAATTGTGAAATGCAGGGGCCAATGCATAAGACTGTATTTTCTGAACTTATGGATGTGCCAGGTCGATGCTCGTTGGAGCAAGGGTCAGAGCTCCCACTGCCTCTGGGTATGAAGGCCACAGGAGAATCCCAACCACCAGCCTTTCCTTCTTACCTCCCTCCCTTTTTCTGGGGGAGGGCGAATTGTCCAGCCTGCTTAGTGTAAGCCCACACAGCCACTTCCTCCTGTTCCTCTATATCCTGCCAGTCACATCCTAGCAGCAGGAAGGGAGCTCTCCATCAAGCATCCAGCCAACAGGAAGAGGCCAGGGTGTGTGACCCAATCTCTGACCGCTCCTGACATTAATACTCCCATTTAACTCCTTGAGCAAGCCCTGAATTCTCACCCTCAGGGAATTTCATTCCCTGGCAGCAGGGAATGAAAGGTGCTCTCTTGCTCTGGCACATCCATGACTAGCTTTTGCAAGTCTCTTTCTCTTTCTGAGCCTCAATTTCCCAATCTGTAAAACGCAGACGTATATTATTCCTGGACTAACTCCAAACATCACTGAACTGCTGGGACTCTCAAATATCAGAAATGTTCTGAGTGCCACTAGAAACACCAAACTATCTGTATCCTCTGCAGTACCCATCCCAGGGCCACGAACAGATCAAGTGGTTAATAAATGTCCATGGAAGTGGGTGGAGACTGGTGAACCTAGGTTCAAAAGTGTATGACCTTGAACAAGTAGCTCATCTCTTGGAGCCCAGAGTTTTTATGTGTCAAACGCAGAATAATAATGGTGCTTGCCTCTGAATGCTGCTGCAGGGATTAAATGAAAAGAGAAACATATGATGGTAGCATTTATTATTAAAATTAGCTTGTGAATCATAAAAGAGATGAATAAAACAAAGTCTCTGCTCTCAAAGACTTAACAGTTGTGGCAAATAGGATTCATTTCTTTTGAGCCATCTCCAGTTGATTGGCAGGGGCTGCTTGGAGCTCTGTGTAGAGGATTATAAACACCAGCCAACTCTCAGCATGAAAAAGGGATTGATTATCAATGCCTGCCATGGGACAGGAGCGGGGAATGTGGCAGCTGGTACACAGTGCGTATGCTGACCCTGACCTGGTTAGAGAGAGAGACACATAGGCAAAGAACTCTGATGTAAAGCAAGCGACTAGTTTGGGGAAGGTAGAATCAGGAGCCACTCCCCAAGCTCATGGAATTCAAATCAAGCTTTAAAGAGCGTATGGAAGGAAGGTCACTCTAGGCAGAGGAAACAGCTCGAGCAAACACACAGAATACCTGAGTTGCAATGATTTGGCTGCCAAGAATAGACGACCCGATCAAAGGTGGCTTAGACAATAAGAAAAATTTATTATCTCTTAAGAAGTCTAATCGTAAGTGATTTCAGAGCTCGTTAATTGAGCAGCTCAAAAATGGCATCAACTTTCTTATATTTTCTGCTTTGCTGGTATTATGGGCTGAATGGTGTCTCCCAAAATTTATATGCCGAAGCACTAAGACTCAGTACCTCAGAATGTGGCTGTTTTTGGAGATAAGTGAAAATGAGGCTGAAGAGTGGCTGCTAATCTAATCTGACTGATGTCGTTATAAGAAGAGGAAATTCAGACACACAGAGAGACACCGGGGTGTACGCACACAGAAGAAAGACCATGCGAGGACACTGTGAGAAGGCCGCCATCTGCAAGCCGAGGGGAGAGGCCTCAGAACAAACCAATCCTGCTGACACCTTGATCTTGAATTTCTAGCCTCCAGAATTGTGAGAAAATAAATTTCTGTTGCTTAAGTCACCCAATCTGTGGTATTTCGCTACAGCAGCCCTAGAAAACTCATACAGCTGGCAAGATGGCTGTTGCAGCTTCAGGAGTAATACACACACATTATCCTGCTTTTGATGCCATCAGCCCTTGATGAAGTCAAGGGTTTCCCCTTCTTGTGTATCTTTTTATTATGAAGGAAAACCTTTCCCAGGGAGTCTTCAGAAGACTTCTCTTAGGAATCTAGGGGCCAAATATATTAGCCAGAATATATCTTGGCCGTAACTAAGACCTAAATAATAGTGGCTTAGACATATAGAAGTTTGTCTCTTCTATCACATAAGTAGTCCAGGGCAGGTATTGGAGCTCTGTGTATGCAGGACCCAGGGGCTTCCTGTCTTGTTGCTCCACCATACTAGGGTTTTGCTTTCAACTTCAAGATGGCTCTCTACACAGCTGTAGTCCAGCCAGCAGGAAGGGTAAACAGCCAGAGGAGAGCACATCCCCTCATTTTAAAGGGATGATCTGGAAGTTAGAACAAAGTTCTACTGCTCATATCCCATTGGCCAGAACTTGTTTCCATGGCAATACCTATTGCAAAGGAGGCTGGGAAATGCAGTCTTCTATTTTGGGTGGATATGTGCCCAGCTAAAAATTCCTGTATGGGAAAAGGGGACTCTGTCTGCGGTCATGCTACCCTGAACAAGCCCGATCCTGTCTGATCTAGGAAGCTAAGCAGGGTTGGGCCTGGTAAGTACTTGGATGGGAGACCACCTAGGAAGACCAGGTGCTATAGGCGTAAAAAATAAAAAATAAAAAATTAAGGGATTGTAAGCTGACAAGGTCCTTGCAGTCTGTGAGGTCAACCAAGGGTTGCCTCACCTAAAAAAAAGAAAAAAGAAAAAAAGAAAAGAAAAAGGGACTCTGCTCTCTGCTATGTGAGGATACAATGAGAAGTCAGCAGCCTATGACCGGAAAGAGGGCTCTGACTAGAACTCAACAATTTTGTCACCCTGATCTTGGACTTCCAGCCTCCATAACTGTGAGAAATAAATTTCTGTTGTATATAAGCCAGAAAAAAAAGGGGGAGACATGGATACTAGGGGACACATAACAGTTTCTGCCTCACAGCAATCTCACCAATCCTCAGTCATGGGAATTATCTTGCACCAATGGTTCTCAAACTTAGTTGTGCATCAAAATCACCTGGAAGGCTTATAAAAACATGCTACTCCCCATGCAACAGTGGCTGCTTCTGTAGGTTTGGGGTGGAGCCCGATAATTAGCATTTCTAACAAATTCCCTGGTACAGCTTGTTCTGGGGACCACACTTCGAGAATCAGTTTTAGTTCAGTGGTGACGTGCTACTTGGGACCAGGTAGGAGGCTATATTTCCTGAACACTTGGGATGAGGCGCCTAGGAAATGAGCTCTATATGCATGAAAGAATGGTGAGAAAGGCCATTGGGTGACAACCAGGAGAGTCTCATAGAAACGAGATGAGTGGTTTGGAGAGGCTGTGAGGACTTGGGCAGCATAATGTTGGAGATGAAACTCAAGAGGTAATTTGGGCTCAGACTATGAAATCTCATCAGAGAAAAAGGTTAAACTTTTATCCTGAAGGCCCTGGGGAGGTGCTAAAGCAAGGAAATGTCAGGATAAGATTTGTGAGAGGATGCATTAAAACAGTGGTCCTAAAAGTGAGGTCCTCAGACCGCTTGCACCAGAATTTTATAAATGCAGATTCCCATGCATGCTCTATCCACCCACTGGCTATGGAGATGGAAATCTGCATGTAAAACAAACTCATTTTACCCAAAATGTTTCTTTGCACTTTGAAGTTTGAGAATCTCTGGATTAGAGGGTTGAAGCCCCCTAAGGCAGAGAGAATATTTAAGGG